CGAAATTCTTGTACTACACTATGTTTGTTTTGATTCGCAATTAAAGTTTGACAGATGAAATTAGGGGTTCGTGGATTTTCCTATGTTTCGAGGGGTGCATCGATTAGCTTGGGACTGAAGATAGTACCAGTACCAGAGCAGAACACGTTTCTTCGGGACCTACTAGTCTTAGAGTTACCTCTATGGTTGTACATCCCGTTCTACAGCGTGCGACCTAGAATAGAGCCTTGTGGAACTTCCGCCGTGATCCTAAGCGATTTCTGCCCCGTGTCTGTCTCGTAGACCAGGACCCTGTTCTGGAAGTAATTACTTAGAATCCTGCCGAGATAGCCTGGAACCCTCATTCTATGGAGTGCCTCGGCGATGGCCTCCCAGTTGGCGCTATTGAATGCATTCTTCACATTAATCGTTATCACTGCGCAGTATAGATCTCCTCTACGCTTCTGTTTGGAAGCTTTCTCGGCTCTGTCAACAACTGTTCAAATTGCATCCACCGTCGATATCCCTTTTCGGAATCCGAACTGCCTATCCGACAATCCGTGTTCACTCTCTGTGCATTTCGTCAGCCTGTTCAGGATGATCCGCTCCAATAGTTTTCCGACTGGATCCCCCGACGTTTTTCCGGGCTTCGGCAACAGCACAAGCTTTTGTACCTTCCACCTATCAGGGAACTGACCCTCGTCCAGACATTTTTGCAGCACCAGCCTGAACATGTCCGGGAACGCCTTGATCGCCGCCTTCAACGCCACGTAGGGAATTCCATCCGGGCCGGGAGCTTTCTTCGCCTTCAACCCTTTCGCTGCTGCTAGGAGTTCCGCGTTAGAGACTTGTTCAACGTTGTCTCCAGCTTCCTCGCCATATGGTGTAGGTGGCCAGGTCGTTGGATCATGCTGTGGGTAAAGTCCCTCCATGATGACTTTTAGCACATTTCAACCGGCATCGCGACTTGGTATGCATCGCCCCAGGAGTTGGTATCGGCGTCTCGGCACAGCTCCTTGAAACTGTTTAACTTGCTCAGCTTTATCTTTCGTTTTAGTGCAGCCTTGGCCGCTCGAAACATCACCCTGCGCTCCTCTCTGTCTGCTTCAGTTCTTGCTCTCTGAACGCGCCTTCTGGCTCAGAGTGGCCAGATTATTTTTTTCATTATCGGTAGCTTCTCAAAACTTTTATCGGTAGCTATCGGTAGGTCGACTTAAGAAGGCTTTCCCGATACTTGAAACTTTTGTGAGCGGGGGGGGGGGGGGATGACTCTGCTCCAGAACAATACACTGTCCTTCAGTTCTTCTGCTCTAAACGTGTCGAAATCAATTTTTCTAATTATAATCTAAAAATCTTTGATTCTCGGTAGGAAAAGTGAAAAATCGGTAGTTTTGAACCTTTCGTCTGTGAATCGGTAGGCACCCCGAAAATCGGTAGGACTACCTATAAATCGGTAGGTCTGGCCACCCTGTTCTGGCTAGAAGACAACTACACTGTACCAAACCACCGTCCTCTGTTCGAATGAAACCTCAGACCATTCAAATCGAAACATCGAAATTGTCTTTTCGAATGATAGCTGCAACCGGACGACGTTTGTTTGGAAATCAGATGATTTTCCTCTCGAATACAGGATGAACATTTCTTATGAAAAGGGATAGGGCCTTCAGCTGGTTCAGTAGTCTTTTTAATTTGAAATTAATTTGGTATTGGCGCAGCCCGTTAACGCAAATCATTAAAACAGATGATGTAAATAATTCTATCGAACGTCATTTGTTGCTTTGAGCAGACAAACGAAGTGGAAGCATAGCCATCGCTATCAGAGGTGGTACGAGTATTGGTAAAGCGTGGAAACCGTAAATTGTTTATTTCGTGGTGGAAGAAGTTTCCTCTACCAACCAACAAGGAATTTTTGTATCCATGATGAATGGCTGTTCATGGCTATTCAATAGGGTAAACGTTCCTATAGTTGCGGTACGTTAGAAGCGTTAGGTTCCTATAGTTGTGTATTGAGTCTCCATGCACAACTATAGGAACCTAACGCTTCTAACGTACCGCTACCAGTGTCTGTTTTTATCATTTACCATCACATGCAAGGAGTATCGCTTCAACCCAGTGTCGATGAATTGCGTTTGTTTTGAACATCTTCGTAGTTACGAAACGAGCGAAATGAACAAATGAGTTTATTATACATCAACGAATACGCGTTTATTGATATTCACCAGTGCTCGATTATCAAACCCAATATTGTCATAATCAGAAGTGATCCTCAAAAGCAAAATAATCAACGACATTTTGGGCAAAATGATTATTTTCAATATTGTCGACTACACTGCCTAAATCATCGATATTATCATCAGTTCAGCTTGAGGCAATAATTTGCCGTCGACTTATGTCTAAAAACCACGTTCTTCAGTGCTATATTTGTTTAAAATGAAAATAATCATTTTGCATTTGATCCTCAATATCATCCCGACCAAGATGAAGACGAATATCAATATTTACAACAACAGAGGCGATAATGAGAATCCAGCCACGAATGAAGAAAAACAAATGTTATTTTTGATACTCAGAGATTGCCTAGATCAAGGGAATTTGTTTATATCAAAATTCAAATTCATGCAGGTAGTTGGTCTATCTGTTAAGGTTTTCTTCATTTTCAGCTAAATTGAGTGTAGAAGAAAGGATTTGTATCAGCACTGACCGCTACTATATGAGCGTTTCCCTTATAGAAATGTAAATAATCGAATTAATAATCTATTCTAAAGCATTTGCTTGCAAGTCATCCTATCCTTAAATTGATGTCCTCTGAGCCCTGCATGTTGTACAGCCAATTTTCAAATAAATATCATCATTTATTTGGAGGACAGTCATATGGATGGTCATCAGTTCATGACGAATTCAACCATAAGGAAATCATCCGAAATTCTACAGCATATTGTTAAAGGGCTCGAGCAATACAATAATCAGTTGAAGTATTGCGGATGTTTTCGTTCAGTGTATCACGGAGGATGCTTTCCTCGTTCCACCAATAAGTTGGACGCCCCCTGTTCATTGGCTCCAGTTTTCCCGGCATAGTTGTGTCACATGCCCTTGCTAACGATTCGGTCAACTCGTTCGCGCTTAGGCCCTGGACGCTGCTGTCTACCCTTAGAGCTTCGATGAAGAGATCCTTATTAAATGCCTTCGTCTTCCACTTCCGCTCGCTTACTTTCGTCCTTCGCATTTCCACCGGTGTCCGTTCGCCGCAGTGTTGGGAAAATATCAAAAATTCAAAGCCCACAACGCCCAAGATCACGCTTGATTTTCGTAGGCAAAAATCAACAAGCAAACAACTGCGGTTGCAAGCTGTGATATCGCAGCTCGAAATATCAAGCTAACAAAACTCACCAACTGCAAATCTCACCAAACTGTGGTGAGATTGAGGTTAATGATTTTTGCTTTACACCCGAATGCAACCGAAACTTCCATAACGGCTTGCAGCAGTCCCTTCGCGTCTGCCATCGGTGAAGATTAAAAAGGGATAGCAAACTATGCTTTCTCTTTCTAAGAAAACGATGTGCAATGGAATCATTTTTGTGTCGAGTCAACTCTCAGCTTGATTTTTGCACGTTGTAAATAGTCTCGCAATATCAAAGAAGCTTGTAAAATCAATATCAAGCATGATATTTTGTTCCAATATCACGCGTGATATGGCGAGTGCATGAGAGCGGAAAAATATCAATTGATTTCTGATTTTGCCAACACTGCTTCGCCGATACTGTACCGGATCGCCTGATGGTCACTATGGGTGTACTCTTTGCACACTCTTCAGTTCATATTTGCCACTAGCGACGGACTTCAGAAAGTGACATCGATAATGGATTCCCTACCATCATTGCGGAAGGTGCTGATGGTTCCTAAGTTGGCCAGACTGACGTTCAACTTTGCCAGAGCTTCCAGCAGGCTCTCTTGCGTTGGAAATCTCCTGCGATGATGACTGCGGGACAAATAATCGGTTTTTCGTACTACATGGAAATGGTCACCCTAATGATAAAATAAAATAATACGGTTCGAATATTTTGCGATAAGGAACAAAACTACCAATTTTTACAAAATTCTGAGAACCACTATATCGTTTAGCTATGGAATGGCTGCATTTTTGTTGCCGAAAGCAGTCAATGGGTGCCGAAGCCAACATTTACCATATACAAATATGTCGTCTATTTCATAATGAAAAAAATGTTGGACTAAATCAAAAGGTTTCTTTTTCTTTTAAAAATTAACTAATTTTTTTTTTATGATTTTGGGTATCCTTTTTCAATATTTTTAGTAAAATTAAAACGTATTTTTTTCGGTGTGGTGAGCTCCTTAGGGAAATTTATAGAATTGTAGCTGTTATAGATGCACCAAATTGTCTCTGAATCCCAAAGAGTTTTTTTTTAGTCTTGGGAAATTTGTGGATGACAAAGAATATTATCCTGTTACAGTTCTGTTAAGCTGATACTTTATTGAATCGAATTTAATGCTTGAGATTTTTCGTTTTTTTGATGCAGTGTATCTTAAAATTGATCGAACAGGGGTCCTTAAACTTTAGAAAAATGAATACAATTTAAGATAGTTTTCTGAATTTCTTACTGCTGGCTCATCCAACAGTTATTGGTTATCGGTATCGTATTGGGCTAATTTGGTTGAGTGTGTAAGAAGTTAGAAAAACGCCTTTCTCCAAAAAGCACATTTTCTTAAAAAATACAATGAAGCAAAATTATGAAATTATTATTATAATAAAGATCATTCATTTGCCGTTAGTTTTACTAAAAGCTGTCCACTTCGAAAAAACATAAAAATTTAGCTTTTTGCTCAAATTACTCAAACTACCGGTCCTAGCAATAAAGTCCAAAACTATACCGATAATTCAATAAATAGGTGTTCAACCACCCGCCAACATTTTAAAAATCTATCTAAGTGTTTCAATTATCCATTCAGGTGTACACTCAATTTTGCGATACACTGTACATGATAATTCAAACACTTTACTCTAGCAATTAATAATTCTTAAACTTGCTTCTCTTGATCCCATTGCAAGCATACACTTTGTCACAGTTTCCTCCTCCCAATCCAATCAGCATAGCTCGCAGGCACCCGAGAATAGCTCCGGAGCTCACCTGCCCATCAACCATGTTCCCCGTCAGCCAGCTCACTCCCAAACTGAAATAGAACACACATATTAGCTGAGTCATGCTATAGTCTTCAGCAACTTCAGCAACTCACTTCCAAACAGCGATCCAGTACCGTCTGGTGTACTTCAACTCCTTCGAAAAGTGGTGACTCTCGCAAATCTCCCGCTGCACGCACTGCCCGTCGTCACGTTTCGCAAACACTGCGGCATCCATTGAATCCAGCACTCGGCGGGCGATGTCGTTGATCTCCCTGAGTCGAGCACTTTCCATATCCAGCAGGGACCGGGCAGTTCTTCTCCGCACTTCCACCGACCCATCTCCGTCCACGTCCCCGTCAACCGGAATCATCATCATGTTGGCGTCGCTTTTGGTCATCGTAATGCACATGATCACCTGCAGGATGAACATTCCGAAGGAGAGGAATGCCAGTGTGGTGAGGGCAATATCGAACAGGTCCTTCAGACCCAGACCCTTGCCGATACTCTTCTCTTCGAATTCGATTGCCGGATGGTAGGAGTAGTCTCCGCGGGCACTGTCGTACGGAGTTTCCCCCTGGAGCAGTTCATACTGGTGGTGATGGTTTTGACTGGCGGCCGGTTGAGGAGAATACTGAGGAGGTGGGGGATTGGGATGTTGATATGGGTTGGGATTGTATGGTTGGCGTGGTTGTTGATACGGGTTGTAGCCTCCGTGGTAGGGTGGCTGGGCAGGTTGCATAATTTGCGGATGGGGATCGGATTGCTGAACGGCGTATCCTGTGATGACTCCTTCATCGAAGTACTCCTCCTCACCGGTTCGAGGGTTCGAGATGGGGGTCCCGTCCGAACGGTGATTGGAGAGATCGGTGTTGTTCACGGACATCGAAGGCGAAAGGTAGTTCCGGTAGATGTCGTCGAAGGTGGTCGATCTTGAGATGGAATAGAACTGATAAATGGAAGCAATCAGGTTGTTCGGGAAGACATACTTTGACAACCAATCAACGTAACCAGAAGATCCCTGATCGAAGAGCATTGCATCCTTGGACGATGGATTTTCCGCAACCATTAGACTGGTTCCAACTCGTCTGGATATTCCGAAAGTGCCAGGCATCACCTCCGACATGATCTGGTTGGCAACGAAGCCGTTGCACAGATAGCTGTTGATCATTTTTCTGAGAAAATAAAACAGGTAATTGGAATTAATTAACAGGCCAAGAGATGGGAACGATGATACGCTTTATAGTGAAAAAAAAAATTTATGATAAATCGACAAACAACTACAATTTACCTGTGGAAACCCATCGTCGAAAACGCCGTCCCAAAAGTTCCATCTTCGAGCGTCAGGTTTACCAAACTGTTTGGCGCATCCTTCGCCACTGACTCCGTTCTTCCTTCGGCTGGCAGTTGCTCCGAATCAGCTGGACCTTCCAGCATCAGAAAAGTGGCTGGCATCAGATTTTCGTTCAGGATATCATTCATATCGATGGTGAAAAAACTTGGTTCCATTCCCTTTCCTCTGCACTTTCCAATTAGCAAAGTCAACACGACCGAAAGAACCGAAAGCTTCATCATGGCAAAATACAACGTGCATCCGTTCCGACCAACTCACTGTAACTGAATGATGCACCGCAGCACTTGCAGAGGAAGTTGCAACCCAAGATTGGTGTAACAGTTTCTCTGCAAAGGAAAATTAAGACTACCGTATGCAGTCTGTGAAAACCATGCTGCATGTCTCGCTAACTTTTCCAATCCAGTGCATTTGTCGCTGCTGTCGTCTGCTGCGTGTACCAATTTGTCGTTTTTGATTCAATTTAACGAATTCAACAACTTTATTTTTCTTTCATTTCAGCCAAATGATTTTTTAAGAACAACAATTAGACTTCTATGCAGCGAAGATGACAAATAGCAAGGTAGCCTACCAGCGGTTAAATATTCAGCGACTGCCCGAAAGGCCCTTCATTCTGAAACTAGTCGTACCCATGGTCATTGTTTTCTTCATAATATTTTGCTTCATCGGATTTCTCATTCCACAACCCGGCAGCACCGTCAATCGGTACGACCAAAACTGGAGCAGTGAATCGTTCATCAACGATTCCGAACTTCTAGATGCGTTAAAGTGAGTATCGATCATTCAACAGTGCAATAATTCTTAAATAATATTCAAAGTAGATCTCTTCTCCACTGCAAATCGACAGGGGCCGAGTACCGGATAGAGACGCGAGGGAACTTTTACGTCCTGAAAAACTTCATCACCCCCAAACGGAAACGCCAGCTGGAGTGCTACGAAAGCATCACCTACACCACCCACGGGGACTATCGGTTTTTGGATAACATAATTCCTCTGCTGGAACGATGGCAGGCCCCGCTGAGTGTGGCTGTGTATGCACCGGGTGAGGAGCTTGACGTTGCGGTTGAAGCGCTACGGTATCTGATGTACTGCGAACGACAGTCCTATCTGGTGGAGGAGTACGCATCGGTGCATTTGTACTTTGACTTCGAACGGATTCCACCGAAGCCGGTGAGTACGTATTGTGAGATGGAACAACCGTTAAAATGTGAAGCCCAAATATTGAAACTAATGCAATTGCTTAAAATGTATATCCTTGATCTTTTTATTTTAATACATTCCATTGTCAAAGACCATCTGCAGGCCACCGAACAGGGTGCCAAAGACTGATATCTCGAATATTTCGCTTAAAATCTTGAATATTTCTTCATGTTGGGGCTCTTACGCAGTAGGATCAACAATCAATACGAAACTAACGATTTTAAATTGGCTCACTACTTGACTAGCCTATTGGTCCCAAGCAAATCGATTACGTACCCCATTCTAGTCAAAATTCTAGTACTACACTATGTTTGTTTTGATTCGCTATGAAAGTTTGACAGATAAAATGAGAGGTTAGTGGATTTTCCGAAGTTTCGAGGGGTGAATCGATTAGCTTGGGACCGATGATAGTACCAGAGCTGAGCCAAAAAGTTGAGCTCGTTTCTTCGGGACCTTCTGGTCTTAGAGTTACCTCTATGGTAGGACTGGGTTTAATTCTTCAATCAGCTCACCTAGTAATATTGTATGATAAATCAATACACGTTCATACCTGCCTTTAGGAATAACTTTCATAAAGACCTGACTGTAGAATTAACTTTCATAAAAGTACGAACTAAATATAGAATTGGTGTAGAGGACAAAAACCTTTTTTTTTTTACTTATTAAAAACGTAGGACCGTTCTGATTAACGTACCGGAACTTTCAAATTCTTATAACGACTTAAAAATGAGGCTGCTTAGAATTATATAGACCACGTTCAACCAAGCTGCTTAAGCCACAAATAGCCTTTTTTCAGAACTTTTGGTTACTTGGGTAATACTTTTTGATATTTTCTTGACTTAGCCTTTAAAATAAAAGTATACGTAGAACAAACATTCTTCAACACAAAAAGCTCTATTTTTTATATGAGGGGGTTAGAAGGAAAGTAGTGTAAGTGACTTTGATCGATTCTCTTCAACAACTTTCTCTTTCGGTAATAACTCTGAACATTGCATTAGGTAACGATTCTCTTTGTCGACTTATTATTATTATTATTTAGCTTTATTTAGGAGGCTTTCAGCCTTAGGCTGGTTCGCCTCCAAAACCGGAAGCTTGTCGACTTTCGCTTTGTATCCACGGCCATGCAAAGACATTTTCAGGTATTTTCAGCACACAGATCGATAAAAGAAGCTTTTATCTAGCATCTAATAGACGAGTGCACGGGTGAACTTTTGTTCATCTACTGAAACAAAATTTGGCACAACAGTGGGGCCCTGTTTACTTAAAATGAACACATGAATAATGCTCACTTAGCATTTGAAAAGGGCCCATCAACGTTTGTAAACAATTTGCTAGGTCCTTTCCACGAGAACCGAAGTACGTCCACGTAAACTAAGAGCACTATCGGGAAGGGGAGAATTTTCCCTACCCGATTGTGTTGTTGGTTTGCGTAGACGTATTCGGTTCGCGCGAAAAGAGCTTAACATGTTTTGTGTACAAAAGTAGAGAGGCCCGTTTCAAATGTTACGCGAGTATTATTCATGTGTTCATTTTTAGTAAACTGGGCCCCGCTGTTGTGTCACTTTTTGACGAGTGAGTGAACTCAAATCCATCCGTGAAATCGTCTATACACACAAACAATTAGAAAAAAAATATGTAAATTTAGGTGCTCTGAGACTGACATATACGAGCGTCAATGTTGACATAAAATCAGCCCAGTGGTAGGCGCGTAGGCAACACAGTGTGGCCAGCGAACCTGGAAAACCGGGAATACCGGGAAATATCCGGGAATTTGAAAAGTAACCGGGAAAACCCGGGAATCCGACGAGAGAACCGGGAAAAATAAATTTAACATACCATAGGAACAAATTTGTATACCAAAAATTTAAGAATAAACCATTAAACAGAGTAATTATTTACCAAATGAATGTCTAGCTCTATATACTGTATAATTTTCTGCAGTTTCTCGTTTTGTATTGTTTTTGACGTAGACTACGTCTTACGGGAAGGTACTGGGGGTAAATCGAAAACCTAAAATTGCGACCGCCACGAAAAGGTGTAAGATTTTGAACGCTTATAACTTTGTCATTTATAGATGAAATTAAAATCCAAATACACAAATCGAAAGGAAATACCTTTCGTAAGCTGTTGCAATGAACGCTTTTTTAATTTTTCATAAAAAACTGTTTAAAAAATGGACAAATAAAAAGTGATAATTTTATCACTGTTTTCTGGAAATAAACGTTCTCCCCAAACCCAGTCCTCATAATCAAGAACAATTTGGATGCACATCGTGCTGCTTGAATCTGAAAAGCTATAAAACAGCGCTGCCTCAACTAATTTTCGCTTCGGACGGCCGGTAAACAGGTAGCAGCAGCAGCAACAGCAGAAGCAGTAGGAAGGCGATTCCTGTCAACCGCACAGCGTTCGAGTTTTACACCTCGAACTTTGCGCGTCGTTCCCGTCGAGATCACTGGCTGCTGGTAGCAGCATGGCCTCGATGGCGCAAGCGCTCATTGGCTGAATGATAACAACAAATCTCGATTAATTTTCGAAAGGACATATCAGCTTTTGTAAACAACGCATTTTATTGTTGGTTTGGCATAATTAATAGCTCACCCCACATACTAACACCAACAATCAATACGAAACTAACGATTTTAAATTGGCTCACTACTTGACTAGCCTATTGGTCCCAAGCAAACGATTAACGTACCCCATTCTAGTCGAAATTCTAGTACTACACAAACAGTTTTGATTCGCTATGAAAGTTTGGCAGATAAAATGAGGGGTTAGTGGATTTTGCTATGTTTCGAGGGGTGCATCGATTAGCTTGGGACCGAAGAGAGTACCAGAGCTGAGCCAAAAAGTTGAACACGTTTCTTCGGGACCTTCCAGCCTTAGAGTTACCTCTATGCTAACACCACTATATCCGGTAGGGGAAAATTTCCTCTATCTCATGGTAGTGTTAGCATGCGTGGGTGAGCTACCAGTTACGCAAAATTGACGATCAAATGCATTGTTTACAAAAGCTAATACGTTCCTTAGAAAAAGTAATTGAGAAATACTTCGTGGGCTGTGTACGAATTGCCGAGTTTTTTATCGTGACATTTCAAGTTATTTTCAATGTTCGGAAATGCCGGAAATTGATCAGTTTTCCAACAGAGCTCAGTCACGGTCCGAAATAACCACGCTCGCACAGCAGAGTTATTCGATAACTCATCTGTCACTTTTAACCACGAGATAAATTTAACTCGCCCATTGCGACACAGCATTGGAAGTAAAATTAGGGCCACACATAAAGTACGTATATTTGTTTGACCAATTAACCCCCCTTCCCCCTCGGAGCGTGTTTGGCAATACACCTAATACATGGCCGGTCCCAACTTCTGAAACCCCTCTCCTCCCTCAACTACTACGTTATTTATGAAAGTTCCCACTGAGCAACACTGAAAATCAGCAGCACACCACACAAAACGGGTTGGACAATTTCGGTATTGATCATCAATATTTCGCGATCAGAACATTTTAGCTTGAAATCCCTACATTTAATTATCGGTACATCTTTCATCTATTGATTGAATTCAAAACAATTCTTAATATGGTTTTTTTTTTTTGAAGATTTCGTGCGTTTTGTGAACGTACATTCATTATTTTGCATAAGAAAACGGGAACGGGGTGTTTCTGTGGTGATAAGAAGGATTTTCCTACACAGATTACAGTTTTCTGTTCCAAGCACTGAAATTATCAGACGGTACCTCTATTTATGCTTTTAGATTAGCTATGAAAGTCCCTCCTACTTGGAAAATTATGCTATAGAACGGTTTATACAACCCCAGTTTTTTTTGCTGATGGGGGCGAGGCATAGCCAGCCGTTCGATTGCATAATTCTTCAAGTAGGAGGGACTTGCAATGCTTATCTCTTACACAGCAAAACATTAATTTTAATATCACATCAAAGTGGATGCACTTCAATCTTGTCGAAAATATGGTGTAATATTACTTGCCAAAAAGGATAAAATTATCATGAATACATCATGCTTTTACCATAGAAGGTCCCGAAATAACGTGCTCAACTTTTTGGCTCAGCTCTGGTACTCTCTTCGGTCCCAAGCTAATCGATTCACCCCTCGAAACAGAGGAAAAACCAATAACCCCTCATTTTATCTGTCAAACTTTCATAGCGAATCAAAACAAACATTGCGTAGTACTAGAATTTCGACTAGAATAGGGTACGTTAATCGTTTGCTTGGGACCAATAGGCTAGTCAAGTAGTGAGCCAATTTAAAATCGTTAGTTTCGTATTGATTGTTGCTTTTACTGCAATGTTTATTTTTGTGGCCATAAAAATTACATTAGATTTTCAACATGATTGAAGTGCATCCTCTAGGATGTAATATTAAAATTTATGTTTTGCTGTGTAGCATAAATAGAGGTACTGTCGAGTTTTTTCAGTGCTAGAGGTTCTGAAATTCGAAAGTGAGTGTTCAAAAGGGCCTACTGGTAATGTTCGATTCTCTTCATCGATTTTCTGTTTACATTGCTACAGCTAAGCAAAACAATTCAATCTGAACATTGCATTAGGTCCTAAGTAACACTGACAAGATTCTCTTCGTCGACATTCTCCTTGAATCCACTCGGCTCAGGTATTTTCAGCACACATATCGATAAAAGAAATTTTTATCTCACATGTAATACAACAAACATAACAAGAAACGATTCTGTGCTCAAGTTATTAAGGCTTTGTTCCATTTGGTGAATGTTTACTTAAATTTTACAGATGGAAAATTTTCAAATAAACCTGCTATTCCAGCAGACTTATTTCGCTTTCTCGAAAATCGGCCGATCTACAATAGAGGGATTTTCGAACATCTTAATTTATTTTCGAAGTGTCAAATCTAAGTGAAAATTTTACAAATGGAACATAGCCTTAGGCTGTGAACCATTTGCCGAGTTTAATTTAACTCGTGGTTAAAAGTGACATTTCGACA